AATTTTACTATCTAATAACTTAATTAATGAATTTAGAATTAAAATTTTATTTTAAACAAATAATTTATTAATGGTTATCTGTTGTACAAATCTTTTTGCACCAGACTATACCATACTTTTGAGTGTAAATAAATATACAAGAATTTTGAGTTTACCACAAAATAAGAATTTATAAAGATTAATCTGCAATTGAAAATTCAAAAATTCATCATATATATTCAAAGTATCAAATTATAGATTAAAAGCAATTAGAAGTTTGCTAGTTTAAGTAGTCAGGCTTAAGTGGCTCGAGCTGTCACATTAATATCATTGATATGTTATATCAATTATATATAATAGTTTCAAAATTAATTACATGTAGTTTGTTACTACTGTATTACTTACCAAAACTTTAAATATTAATGTTTTTAATTAAACCACTAAAACAAAAATTGATTCTGGAAGTAGTTATGTTAACTCAATATTTTTTACTAAAATCAGTATATTGAGATTGTCTTTGTAGTATCGCACTTGGTTCTTATATCTCCTGCATCTGAGATGTACAAATCAAGCGTAAAAAGGTATTCTTGATATGAGAAACAGTGTGTACTACAATACTTTATTTAGTTTATTCTTATCATTTATACTATTTAGTATATTGTAAAATTTGTAAAATTATCATTTCTATCACGTAAATGTACTTCCACCTTTTTGCTATAATGATCAATAACGATAACGATAACGTGAAAGTTGTCGAATGTAAAAAACCTATCAAACGTTATTTTGAACTTGATGCTAGTATGGTTGGACGTTGGGTTAAGGCAAGAGCAAGTTGGAGTACCGAGATAAACCAAAACAGTAAATGAGTTGGTTCTGGTCGAAAAGCTTTCTATTCTAAAGAACTGTATAATTGGATTATTGAACAAAGGTAACAAGGGTTAGCTGTAACTTATGCTACTATATGAATGAAAAGATATAAACTGTATTGACAGTGGGATTCAAGAATTTCGTAAAAACTTCCTATACAAACTGAAAAAAGTATTAATCAGCTTTCGTCAGTTTGTTATCAATCTTAGAACGGAAAAATCCTTCAATATGGACGAAACTCCGGTATAGTTTGATATAACTGGTAATTTCACCATTGATCAAAAAGGAGAAAAAACTGATTACGGTTGTTTTAACTTGTGCCACAGGTAGGCTTATTTTTTTAACAATCTTCTGTGAATATGGGCAAAATCGTCCAAATAAACCATTTAAAGACAACCTATATAAAGAATGGCATTTTTGGATGGCTAGTGGTGGTGTAGGACAAACTACTAGTAATCTTCGACATGCCAAGTTAGGTGACGTGTATGTATGGGTAAATCTTGCCTTAGCGTTAGATAGTTTAGAGGATGAGGAATTGTAAATTATTGATGTTGGTAATGATAGTTCGGGTAATTCTGATAGAATGATGTAATAATGATGAGTGATGATAATAATATTCAATTTTGGGGTGCTTATTGTAGCACATATGTACGTATACGTATATACGTGATGTGGGGGTGCTTAATTTTGGGGGTGAAGTATACGGCATATAATTGATATCGAAAAAAAATTCAAAAGGGTACATGATATTTAATAGATAGAAGTTAATTTAATACTCGATAAATTAAATATTTTAGTGCAAAGTAAGAATGTGAATATAAAAATCCAAATCCAAATTAGTAGTTTAATTATAACGTATAAAAAAAACCTATAAAATTGAATTTCTTATTTATAAAGAAATATTTATATTTTCAAATAAATTTAACATATATTTCTGCACCACTTGATACACTTCATAATCCGCAATGTTAAATATTCTATTCCGCTAGATCTCAAACCATAGTCATAGGAGAATTAAATTTATATAAAAAAAACTATTTAAAGCTGAGTAGTTCGTGCCACTTGAATTTTATTGAAATGGATTATAACCACCAATAATATTTTTCATCTTTTTACGCGAATGGCAACAACTGTTGGACCTTGATTATCACACAAACGATGAAATTCGGTATTCTTAAATCCATCACGACTACTTCGTAGTAACAGCTTTAATTCAATTGATTTGTTTGTTTATCGTCAGCTTGTTTCAAAAATTTGATTACGCGCGAAAGAATTGAAGAATCGGTAGTTACGATTTTGCTGGCCTGATGATCTTCACTGCAATAGTATTTCTGGCAAAATCTTAACATACACACGGTCTAACTTCATTATAAAATTGACCGGACTTATTTGGAAGAAACGAATCAATTATAAACAATTTCTGAGTGTTGTTTAAATTCGTTATGTGTCCATTTTTCTATTGGAATCGTCGGATCAATTTCACCAGCATCTGCAGCTTGAGAGATTCCCATTAAAGCATCTTTTCTCAAAGGTCGATTTCATCCAGATCACGTTTAGTAAATTAATTAGCTAACTCATATAGCTTGGTAAAATCAGTTGACGGAAAACTAGCAGCAACTATTCTGGTGTGATATTTGTGGATTTTGGTAAGAGTTATCATTACGCTCAAATGCAATTTAATTAGTTAAAGTAAGACTCTGTCAACAATTTAGAGTGATATTCGAGAAGATCGAGAAGATGAGTTTGAATATATTGATCAAAAATCAACTCATCAGCCAACTAATAAATCCAAAAGTGTCGAAACACTACGTATAACTTTGTAGATCGATTTTTCCATTGTACTCAGCAATATTTCAAAATTCTAGGTTCAGCAGTTTCTTAAAGATAATCGACTTATTCGGCTCTCGTTTCACCCATGAATGAGAAAAGGCAGTCGCAAAATATTGCGACTGCGCTACTAATATTGCCCGAGTGAGCTGAAAAAGTACGTTGAAGATTCTGATTTTCAATATTTAACGAGTCTATTTTAATAACGATAACGATAATTAGTTTTTTTACCGGAAATTACGTAGTACCGATATAACGATATCTATATCAGATTTATTTTTCAAATACTGTACGTAATTTTTTGCATAGATCAAATCATTTTTATTTTGAGTCAGGGTTTTGGGTTGGATTTGCAATTACAGAGTCAATTTATTGCTATAAGGTTATATTATTTTGTGACTTGGCCTTTGTATCTTTTGTTCAATGCCTCATTTCTCGACTATTTTAAAAACTTCAAATTCTTCAGCAACAAAATCACCAGGATCCATTATTTCATGTTCGTAAGAATATTTTCGACAAGATCCAGTTTTACAACTCTCATAGATCACTAGATCACCTTTACCAAAGTTAGGTCCGTAACTTTCCAAATCAAAAATAGCTGAACCTGACATATTGAAAGAAATCCGACTCAATTTCGGTCTTTCATCTGCAATCGTCTTTTCCATCGTAGACGACGTCCCATTTTCGTTATTATTCTCGTCAATAGAAAATATAAAACTTTTCTTTGTGTCAGCATAGTCGGCTCTATTACACCATCCGATTGGGTTGTATCCACCAATAATTTTGCCAATTCCTTTTATTTTTAATATCACCACATTCTGTCCTTGATTAGAACATTTACTTCGGAAAGCACGCGGTGTGAATCCATCACGAGTACCACGATAAAGAAGCTTAAATTGAAAACGAGGTTTATGATAGGTAGGTGGTTTGCCGGATCCACCTTCAATCCAATGAGAAATCATGGTGATGTGTTTTGAGCTAACTATCGTGGAATCGATTCGTGGAGATCTTGGCGGTAACACGGCACATTGACGAGGAAGCTGTGGTTTGTAGTGAGATCGAACAAGACCTTCGTATAATTCAATTGGCAGTAATTGCTTAAAAGGACGAACGTTATCGTAAAATTCCGGCGGAGACATTTCGAAGAATCGTAGCAGCGGAATGCATTCATGTAGTGTTTTCTCCATCGCCTCAAATTCTTCCGGTGTCCAATGACCAATTGAGTTTTCAATGGTTGGAGTCTGAGCAATACCCCATCTAATCACATGATTCCATATATCCACTTCATCCATTTCTAAATCATTTCTCTTCAGTAACGCGAGAAGGATATCTTCTTCGATCGTTGTAAAATCACTGGATGTGAAAAATGATTGTGGATCACTACAAATCGCATCAATACAATGGTCTTGAAAAGTTTTGCAAGCTTGAAGGCGAAACACTGTATGCATGACTTGCACAAAATTCTCGTGCAGCCACGATGGTTTGTTGTGAATAAGATGGTGTTGAACGTGTGCCACCAATTCTTCGAGAATTAACTCATCTGCGGCCACCAATAGAGCCAAAATATCTGTGGGTTCGTGTTCTTCCAATGCTATATCACCACTGTATATATATCTATTTTGAATAAAATATTTTTGGTAAATATTTTTGGGTACATTTCTCTTGATTTCTAAATAATGATTCAAAATCATGTGTGAGCATACCTTAGAATAATATCAAATACTACAGGTGAAATATTTGGTTTTTTGAATACGAATATTCCATCTTCTTTGATCACCCAGTCACTGCTCAACGCCGTTCGAAAATACGGTGAACGAGCGCGTAATAAGTTGGTATGGGCTTTAAATTGTTTTGCGTGCGAGTCTTCACCAACGTAAATAATGATATTGTAATCATCAGAATCGGTAAGCAGTTTCGAAAGGTCATGCGAGAGATTAGTCAGAAATGTGTGGTGCATTATGAAAATTTCTCTGTTTATGTTTAGTTGGAAAAGAATAACGATAACGATAAAGCAAATTTACACTTCAAGAAGTGCAATTCATGTATATCATCGACTAAAATAGGAATTTGTGTGAACTGGTACGTATTAACGACAACACTCATCGTTATCGTTATATATATGTACGCACATGTATATTGATATGCAATACTTTTTGTGATTCATTTTTGGACATGGGCTGAATCGGATCAATGATCTGTTGTGTTTAAGAATGCTCTATATAGATATATATATTATACATATAGCGATAGCCGAATTTTACTTTTAGTGCATCCTCATTAACAATTACGTATTGGTATATAAAATGGTCATATTAACATGCAAATCTTAAATATTCGCGTTTTTTGATAATACGTACGTACATGTATTTACTTTCGAAGCAAACGTAAGATGCGATGACAGAATGTCTACACGCATACAGGACCCCTGATTACGAGATATCACATACTGAACTTCGTTGTTCGGAATGTTTTGACATAAGCGTGTAACCTTGTACGGTATGAAACCTTGCTATAATTACCGCCGAGGTTCTAATGATCACAATCAGGGTCCTACGCATACGTTTAGGTTCTAAAGAGTATGTCGATTTGAGCATTGTATGTACTTTTGATGCCGAAAAAGTAATATTGTACCATAAAAATCCTTTTTATATTCAACCAAAAAAAAATGCCAATTACAAAATCCAGAACTTTTTCCGAAAAAAATGACTGATGATCATAGCTTCTTGTAACGATTAAAAGAATAGCGAGTGATTATACATGTAGAATTTCAACTTTCACGAAATTCACAGCATGTAAAAAATAAAAATCATGTTTTGATTTATGTTTACTAAAAGCGCGTGCGAGAAAAAATAGAGTTTACATATCCATGTACAGTTCCCCAAAAAGTAACGCCTGCTCCAAATTATATAACAAAACATAAAAAAATGTAAATTTTCAAGCTATGTATCTTTTTATATCTATATTTCTATTAGTAATTATTTCTCATTTTAAAGCTAATCAATTGTATTTTTGAAAAAATGAAGAGTATGCCACTTTTTTTAAAATGTAAGAACTGTTTTAATTATAAAATCAACAAAAATTTTTTATATGTATTTACTATATAATTTTAAATCGGGCGTTACTTTTTGGGGGTACTGTACATGTCGTACTCTTGAATCTGATTGGCTAATAATCCTAATCCGTACACCCCTATGATGCATAACATCTAAGGGGAATGACAGAAATTATCTAATATCATGGGGGTGAGGGAGACAAATTCTTAGGTGGGTGAGGGGTCTCTATAGTACATGTAAATGGACAGTTCGAAATATCTACACCCCAAGAATAAATATAAATGATATTCTTCTATAATTACCGTTTCATCTAAATAAAGGCATAACAATTTAATCATCATCTTTTTAAATAAGTTCTTATTCCTTGGCATCGGCAATTAAAAAATGTTAAATCCACCAGTTAAACCAACATCATGCATTTCTTCAAATATAGCATCTAATATTTGCCTTGAGAATTGAAATTATTAATTTGTAAAGATAATCAAGTTGAATACGGAATTATTTCTCAGCAACTTAACGGCGGATTCAATAATTACAGAAATTTCTTGGTTTCTTGTTTTTTTCTATATTTTATATTTAATGAATTCTGTATGGAATTAAGAGCCTCTTTGTCATCTTAAATAATTCAATGCTATTGAACTATCAATTAACTTTTGAGGCATCTTTGCAATTGCATGCGCAGGTCCAAATGTATTAAAATTATTACAGCATATCAAACAGAACTTATCTCGTTATTGAAACGAGATGTCCTAGAACTTCACGAAATCAAAAATTTGTGCTAAAGTTGAATTGCTATTGAACCATTATTTGATTCCAAATAATAGGATTGATTTAGTCAAAAGACAAAGTTCGTTTCTTTAAAGGAGAATATAACACTAAAATAGACGATAATATCGAATTTATACAATTGTGATTGACTTCTTAGTTCTGGTTGTGACTGTTAGAACACTACTTCACACAACCGATAATTCATAAAACGTAAATTACTATAGAGTAAATTCAATCAAATGGTTCAACTCGGGCATAACGAAAGGTGTTGGAATCATGTTAGTTCAATATTCGAGTGGAAAAGTGCTTCCGAGAATTTTTGTAGAAAACCTAGAGGTTACAAGATTAGCTCGTTAGGCGAAGAAGCAGAAAGAGTTGATTTTCAATGAGAAATTATAAACCAATTAAAATAACCTTGCTACCGTAAATGGCCATATAAAAGATCCCGGGTCTGCTACATTCTACGGTTCAGAAACCTGTATTATACCCGGGGTCTATTACACGGAATGTGAACATCTACTATATAAACATATCTTTTCTGCTTTTAAAGAATGATTACATTATTCAACTTTATATAATAATTCTGTTTTATTGAATTTGCTGTGTTAATAGCCTAGATTTTGCACCGGGTACAATGCAGGGTTTACTATTAGAGGTGAACTTTTACATGGTCATCTACGGTACTCGTCTATTTATTGCATATATAAAATGAAATATAATAGAATATTAGAATTAAGTTGTGATATTTCATATTTTGCGTTTAAAGAAAATAAATAATTAATTTGGATAACATTTGCATCGTTATACTAGCGCTGCGTTAGCAACAAATTCTAATCGGTATTTGATCATTACCAGATCTTTTCCTCACATAATGTATAAATGTCTTTTTTCATGTTAACATCTAAAGTCATCAAACGTTTGTATTTTACAAAATGTATAAACTTTTTTACAAAGAAGTAAATGCAAAATTTAATCCGTAAATATGATAGAATAGGCTCTTTCTGAGCATATTCACGGATTAAATTTTGCATTTACTTCTTAGTAAAAAAGTTTATACATTTTATAAAACACAAACGTTTGATGACTTTAGATGTTATGCACCATATAACAATGACAAAATTGTTGAATTACCCGATCACGTTTAGAAACCCTTACTCAAAAGCTCGATATATTCCGAGAAGTAATTATTTTTGTACAAGACATGGACTAATTAGAATTGCAGTTGCCAATATCGATATTAAATCCATCCTATGTATTAAATTTGGTGTATTTGGAATTGTATATCGATACATTAATATTTTAAAAATTAATCTCATACTACGTAATTAATATTGATAAATTGTCTTATATTTCTTCTCAAGTTTTTTTTACCTGTTGATTATAATCTTTTTAATTTATTAAGTTATATGAGTTTACTATTTTATATCTTAGTATTTTTATTATTTATTTAAGCTCATTAAAAATTAAAGTGCAATTATGAAAACTGTTACTCATAAGAAACTTTTCAAGAAATTCTTGTTTTGATTGATTAGGTTGTTGATTTTGTTGAATTAAAATTTCTCAAGAGATTGATGTAGATGAATTGTTGATGTTCAAATAACAAATAACCAAGTTCCATGATGTTAATAACAGCGAGTGATGATGACTATATTCAAATTCAAGCTCGAATATAATACTTCCAATTATTCATATGCCAACTATTAGTTAATAAATATGCCAAATAAAATAGTTATTTTAAAATATAGTTACTCTTTTTTTAAAACTAATTATAATAAAAGCATTTTACTATAAGCATATTTATTATAAAATCCAATTATAATTATATTTATAAAAAATCTATTTAATTCAATAATATAATTATAAATATAATTAATTATTAATTAATACAATGGCAATCAGAAATAATGCAACGACGTTAAAATTTATTAATTAAATATAGTAAAATTGAAAACTTTTATATAAAGAAAAAAATTCGCATTTTACTATATTTAATTAATAAATTTTAATATTGTTGCATTATTTCTAATTGTTACTATATATTTAAATAAAATTAATTAAATAGTAATATTTATATTCAAATTATTACTATTAATTTTATTTTATCCAGAAAAATTAAAAATTAAAAATTAAATATTAATATTTTATTTAAATTTAATTTAATTTCTAAATATCAAGATATTATATTCAAATATGCTTATTGTATTTGATATTTAATTAAATTTATAATATTATTCTTGCTAATTTATTAATCAATTATATAAAAATTAATTAATAAAAATTAATAAATAAAATTTGTTTATTAGATTTTGTATTATTTTACTTTATAAAGCATTTATATAATTTTGATTGCTCTTTATAATTATATTTTTTTCAAGAATTAGCTATAATAAAATTATCTTTTTATAATTATATTTATAATAAAATTCTATTATAAAATTAATTTATTATATTACAAAAAAATCTTTTTAATACTAATAAAATGAGTTTTTATATATTTTAGAATATCTAAAATATTAATAAATATAAATTTTATAAAATTTATTATATTATAAATAGATTTTTGGCTCACTTTATATACACATACCTATAATATATTACTAGAAATTTCAAAAATGAATCTATTATTTTGGAATCTGATATCTCAATATTCAGTAATCCCATTTAAATAAAGATATTATCATTAAATTCATATAATTGAGATGAATCTAATAGTGATATTTTTGTTCGAATAGAATTATTAGATATTGAGATATCAAATTCTAAAATGACAGATTCATTTTTGAAATTTCTGTTAATATACTATAAATATATATATCTTTTTAGAATATAAAAAATAAACTTACTTAATATAATAAATAAATATACTTATTATTTGACTATACTTAGTTTTTATATTAAAAATTAAATTATAAATTTGAAAATATTCAAATAAAATAAATCTTCAAATTATTTTATTAATAATCTTGTTTAATAAGTTTTATTTATTGAAATTATAGTATCTATCAAAAGTATTTCCATATCTTTAACTTGTCATAAAAGTAGAGTAAGTCAAAAAATTTTTTTATTTTAAAAGTTTATGTTATTATATGAAAAATTAATATACTATATAATTGCTTTCAGATTTAATTAGAATCTT